TAAATATATGAAGGGCCTTCAACAGGCTGTGGGAAAATTTCAATAGCTTTTAATTGTAGGTTTCAACAATTATTTGGAAGCCCCCCTTCTACTGTAGCATGCATGATTTAAAGAGTGCAAAGAAGTCCCTTTTGAACCCTTTCAACTCTACATATTTGCATCTTGGGGCCCTGTATCTCTGCATTCCCAGTGCCTAGCTCAAGGCTTGCTGTGGTAGCCACCTAATCTGGTGTCAATTTAAGGATTAAGAGTGTAGGGGTGAAGTCTAGGCTGTAATCTGGAGAGAGCCAATGAGACTTCTGTGTGGGCATGGCCTTCTCCTGAGAATTCAGAAAAATCCGGTACTTCCTCCTTGGAGGCGGAAGACACCTCTCTCTCTCTGCTACTCCCTGGGTGACATTGCAGAAGACAAGCCACATGGACGCAACCAAACCTCGGATCGGAAGCCAGAGAAGCCACAGAGAGACCCCTGCCAGTGCTGAGATGCTTACAACGCCACTGGACCCAAAGACGTTCTACCCACTGGTCTGTGATCGTCCTGCATTTGGCCTCATTGCGTGTGTTTTGTGAGTCTGAAGAGAAGTTTATAGATTGATATTAGACATATGGGCTAATATCAGACTTATGGCCTTGAACTGGACTAGTTGGGATGTTTTCTCGATGTTCAGTTCCTCTAGTATATAAACCGCTCCCTTATATACATATGTGTGTTTATGAATTTGTTTCTCTAGTCGACCGAGACTAACACACTTGCCACAGTAAGAGCTCCAGAAATAGTAACTGTTGAAGGAATAAATGTTAAAAGATAGATCTTCCTTTTATGATCCTACCTCCAATGTGCCCTGCCACAGGTCTCAAACAGTTCTGCTGCTTTCGCTATTGTTGCTGACAACCTTGCCAAGCAGTTTCACTTGTAATTGTGAAGGATATGAACATGCTCAACTCGGCACAGATTTTGTTTGCCAAATGCATGGTCTCCACTTCCAGAAAACTGGAGAGATGGCATGGGTGTCACAGGAGGTTCAGAGAGCCAGGGGAACTGTACACTCAGAGTGAGAAAAGAAGAAATCACTCATTATCTAAAAGGAGTCGGCAGTCAGGAAGGGGTCATAGCTCTGGCTACACCGCACAACCTGCCCATGGAGCTTAATCATTCTCCGTTGAATTTAATCAGGTGAAGCCAGTCGAACCAACTCTTTCTGGCCCGGGATTAGTTGCTTATCTTGACTGAATCAATAGGAACAGGCGCCAAATCTCTATTTTATTGTGTGATGTGTTGGCACAGGCATATTATTCTTGTTAAAAGAAAAAATAAAGAAAGAAAGAAAAGCACTTAATACAAATGTAGCCAACGGGCTTACTTCCAGTTTCTCTCTAGAACCTTCTGGAATGCTAACACACACCAAGATGTTCAGAAAGACTGGAATTTCAATTGGGAGAAGGAGAGCATCACTTATAAGGACCCTAGAGACACGACTCACAAACTTAAGTGTTTTAATTTCAAAGACCGAACTTCAATTTCCCAGCATGTAAATGTAACTTCAGGCCAAGTTAGTGCACCGTATGCCTCCTGGAGTCTTCTAAAATAAAATGTCCAGCTGGGGAAATGCAACAAGGGTTTCATTGATTTGAGTTTCCGTCTGCACAGAACTTGGGACCTTTGAACTTAAGAGCAGTCAGTCTGTCAAGCATTTTCTCAATGGGAAATACCGTCTATGGAAGCATGACCCCTGGGTTCTTATTCTGGTGTCTCCGTCTGGTGCAGGAAAGACCAGCACTGGTATTACACAACGTCATTGTACAAAGAAAGATGGAGAGAAGAGGGTTCCTAATGGCTCTTTGTTTAGTTGGCAATAAATGTGGTGTTTCGGTAGCGGGTTCCATCTTATTAGTCAAGCATTGGCACAGAACTGTCAAGGACTGAATAAAACAACATACGGAGCCCAGCAGTAGCCTGACATTCCCTGTCTTATAATTAATGGCACCGACCTTCAAACTGGAGCTCCACTCCTGGACTAGGAGTTTGTTCAGCTTGCAGTGTTTCTGTTTGTTTTGATTGTATACCTACTTCTCACTTAACCAACGATCTCATTACCGGACATTTTGCACTTCAGATGATAGTCAAAACTCTACTAGCTGACTATTACTTTTGCCTTCGTGACCTCCGTGTGGCGGTAACGAATGCCGAGCGAGGTAGGAGGTGAGGGCAAAGGTGGCTGCGATGGTTGAGGTTATGTGTCAACGTGGATGGGCCAGGCATCTCAGGGGGTTGGCAGTTAGGTCATGATGAAATCTGGCAGTTCCAGAAAGATGTGATTTGATAGTTATGCAATGATTCAGCCACGCCCCATTTTTGCAGGCAGATGCGCTCATCTTCCATCTTTCCCCCATGCTGATGTGCGTACGATGACCTGGGTTGGAAGCTCACTGTGATGAGAAATGAAGAGTGGGTGTGCTAACAGTGAAAAATCTAGAGGTTCCTGAAAAAACATTTGAGAAATTTGGCCTTGTAGAAATTGGCAGGAGGATCCTAGACTTCAGTGTTTCAGTGCATTATCCTCCCCTTGCCTTTCTCTGCCCACGTTGTTCTGCAGCCGAGCCAGTTGTGTTGATTATGCCGCATGTCCCTGTTACTTCTCTCGCCTAAGAGAAATCTTTTTCTGAACCCATGACTTTCAAAGTAGGAAACCCCAAAGTCACCTAAATGGCAGCTTCACACCTATCCATCTCCCCTCAGCCAGCTGGAGTCCTTGGAGTTTGCTTCTCTATTCCCAGAGCCTGGCTTTCTTCTCTCTCTGGCAATCCATTCTCTGGTAGCATCCCTCATTACACCTGGGGACTCTCCCTGGGAGGCGTGTCATTTGGAAAATTCACCTCTCTCCCTGTCATTGAAGATTCTTATGGAATCATTCATTCACACTGATCATGAGTCTCAACATTTTGGTAGCTTGGAAAGTATTCATTTGACACCAGCTGAGGATCTCTGTATAGCCCCCCCAAAACAGCACAGCCAACTTTCCATTAGTTTATATTTTAAAACTTCGGATTCTGTTAGCTGTTTGTAACTTATAATTCCTTGTTCTTCAGCAACAGTATTAAAAATGGCAACAATTTCTCCTGGGTGGGCACACACCTTTCTTTTCCCCCAGGCACAGGGATCACATTGCAATATTCTTTCAAAAATGATTGTTTTTCAATCAAAGCTTTTCTTCCTTCAATAAAGTTAATGTGTTAAGTACTAGAGAAATCCCAGGAAGTACTATGAGTTCAGGGTCATGTCAATTGAGGCTTAATACTCTCTTTTAACTCTGTTGATTGAGGACTAAGTCTGACCCCTTCTAAAGAGTCACACAGCAAGTTGTCAACACGGTTGCCAGAAAGCAGCAACTTTGAACACCAGTCCCATTCTTGAAGAGATGGCGTAAATACATCCGGGATCCTCGGCGTGTGTGTCCCCCACCCAGGAAAGCGGCAGGTGCTCCGTTCGGCAAGGGTGCTGAACAGGGATTCTCTGACCCACTCGTGAACATGGAGAAGAGGAGTTCTTCTCTATCAGTGCTTCCTGCAAAGAACTTGCTCCCCCAGCACAGGGATCATACAATTAGGACGTGCCCTTATGAGATAGCATTTAATATAATTTTGGCCATAAGCATTGGTGTTGCTATGGTGATACCTGGTCGGTCATGAACCAGGTCAATTTCATAATCAAGGAACCCAAACCAGGCTGTCCACATGATGGTTTTATGGGCAATTCACCCTCCGATGGGAGTTTGTACCTATGCGGTAACTTGTTTAAGGCCTTGGACAAGTGGAAGCCAGCAGAAATCTGCAAGGCAGGGAGGAAGAAAAAAAAAAATCCGAAATCGTTTCTACCCAAGTCATGACTAGCCCTCAAAGGGAGGCAAGAGTCAGAATCTTGCTCAGGACTTTTGAGTTATGCTACCAAGTTCTTGTTACACAGAGATCTCAAAAGGAGATTGTAAAAACCCCTTGAAAACTGCCCTGGGGGAAGGATGTTCAGAAGCCAGAGTGGCCTGCCTAGAGGGAGCTGGGGACCCACAGGTGAGAAGGGAAGAACAGGTTGTTAATACCTGAGTTCTGGCCTTTAACTACAAGCCCAGGAAGCATCCTGCGGGGTCAGTGTCTACAAATGCCTTCTCTGAGGCAGAGGTGTGCTCCGAGGACAGAGAACAGGCAGGAAGGGACCCACGGTAACACTCTTCTGCCACGTCTTGGCGGCGTGTGCAAACACCCAGTCACAATTCTTAACTTTCGGCCATGCAAGAGTTCTTCACCTGCTTGTCACAGAAATCAGACTCTTATCCTGCAAGCGTCCACTCATGGAAAATCCAACGCCCTCCACTGTGACATTCAAGATGGGAAAAATCTCCCACACCCTCCCCATTCTCCAGCCAACGTGAGAGGTAATGGGGGTGGGGGTGGGGGCAACCGGAAAAGGAAATGAGATCATGCGGGTAGACCAGGAACAAAAGATAAAGTGTTGATGGCAGCAGCGTGGGTGAGTGTGTGGTGGCATTACCTCTTGATGAGGCTTCCCAGAAGGCTCCCGCTCAAGTCCTGGTGGCTCTGAGAACAAGCATTCTTGCATCAATAGCTAATAGGCTGGCCAACCAGATGTTATCTGGGTGGGATAAGAGGGTGAGAAAACAGACCTGTTGTTCGCTGTTGTCAACTGCATCCCTGTGGTCAGAGAAGGCTGGTGGTGTCGCGTTTAGCAGGGCCCTGCTTGCATAGCGAGGCAGCCCAGATTACACGGCTGTTCAAATCTGTTTTCCTTTTGTGATTGGTGAAATAGGAGCGTTACAATCATTCATGCATTACTCAGGCCCCTTCTCCATCATTCTGAAGGGGCCTTGTGGTTGCCTTTTCTCTAGAACGGAGCATGCATCCAACAGAAACCGAAAGCACTGGCTTTTCTAAGTGAATTTCTTTTTTTCCTCCAAGAAGCACACTTAAAAGCAACTGCACGGAGTCGTTACCTGTGACAAGACTGGAGATGATGAGAGGCAGCACCAGCATCTGCAACATCCTCATCAGAAGTTCCCCAGGAAAGGCGAAGTACTTGACCTCCCGGTAGCTCATTTTGTAGGGCCGCAGAGTAAATCCAAGGATGGTACCTGAAGGCAAGAAAAGACAAATGGAGAGAGAAAGAGAGAGACAAAAATGGAGGCTCATCTGAACCAGAAGCCACGGTTCTAGTTCAGAGGCAAACATTTGAGCGGTGGCTACCCACAAACATTCATGATGCCTTGGGAGCAGCCGTTGTCTGGAAGGATGGGGCTTCGAGTTGGACTTGAAGGCAAATGCAGAATATCTTTGCCTGACTTGAATGCAGTGGAACTAGACTGACAGCGTTCCGAAGGCTAGGCTATATCAAGGAGACAGATCCTGTGTTCAGGCGGAGGAGACAAGGTGGGGAATAAAGGCCTTGTTAACATGCAGCTCCTTTACAGCCCAGATGTTAGCACTCTGAGCATAGCGACTTTAGGGAGGGTCCCACCATGGCCGGCTCAGGTTGACTCTGACTCAGGGCATCCCGAGGAGTTGTAGAGGTATTTTGGACTATGATCCTAATGGAAGCAGATTGACAGTCTTTCTTTCATGCAGTACAATTGTATCCCCGTCCCCAATTAACAAGACCTCTACGCATTCATATCATTCCTCCACTTCCATCGCCTCGCTGTCTGCACACCACACCTCCCGCCTCTCTCTCTGTCTCTACGTGGTCTTGACATTGCCTTGGTAACTGCACTGTATAGACTTGTTACTTGCTGGCAAGAGACCGTTCCAAAATGAGTAAAGAGATTCCTTCTACCGTGCGCCCCCCTCTCAAAAGATCTTTTTCTTGGAAACCTGGGGGAAAACTGGGGAGAGACAAAATAACGTTTCCTTCATTTTCCCTCTGCTCCTAGAAATTTTAAAACACACTTTAAAAACGATCTTGTTTCTGTGAGACTCAAATTATGCAAGGAAGTGCTTGAAATGATCACAAATGAATAAAAGCATTAAGATATTTGCTCTTTCTCCCCTTCCTCTAATTTACTCCTCACTCTAAGAAAATTTGCTCACTCTAATATTATACATATTAAAAAATTTTTATCCTGGCACAATTAGCACAGGAGTAAATTGTAGGAAAAACAATAAGCCTGGCAGGGAGTTAACTAGAGGCAAGGGCTGAGGGGAGTGGGATGGGTGGTAAACAAAAGCTCTTCCAAAGGACACAAGCGTCCTTCCCGGAAAGGGCACCACCCTGTCTCCTCGGGAAACGGGTATCTGGGACACAAAGGTCATCTCAAACATCACTGCCCTTCCAGCATCTTGCATTTCAGCAACCATGAAGTAGCCATTCTTTGATTCCATACTGTGATATTCCAATAAGAATTAGAATCTATGCAAGTAGAAAATCCAGCCGACCCACTTCTCGGAGGCCCTCCGGAAAATGTTGCTTCTCCACTGCAGGCATCCCACAATCTCAAGAGAGAAAGGCTGATTTGAAAAATGACGAAATGGAGGGGGCAAAAAACCTGGCCGTATTGGGTCTACCATACACCCTGCCCCAGCCCTTGCCAAAGAAAAATAAAGGAAAGTAGCTCAAGCTTATGAGGAAATTCTTGGCTGTACAAATGGCTGTTGCATTTGACTACTAACCTCAAGGTTGAAGCTTTGAACCCTCTCAGCAGTGCTACGGAAGAAAGGTCTGCTGATCTGCTTCCCTTCAGGTGAAACCGAACTCACCTCCAGTGAGTTTGTGGATTCTGATGTTTAGCAATCCTCTAGAGCAGTGGTTCTCAACCTTCCTCATGCCACAGCCCTTTCATACAGTGACCCCCAGCCAGAAAATTATTTTCGTTGCTACTTCATCACTGCAATTTTGCTACTGTTATGAATTGTCATGTAAATATCTGATATGCAGGATGTATTTTCACTGGTACGAATTGAACATAATTAAAGCATAGTAATAAATCACAAAAAACAATATGCGATTCTATATTGTGAAATATTTCTTTCTAATGACAAATGAAATTTTGTCATGTAGCATGAGTAACAGCCTTCACCCTGGGGACTGGTTATGTGGGTGTATCTGCCTGGGGGGCGGACCCACCTGGAGGCGGATAGAGAAGTGGTGTCTCAGTTCCTAAGACCATCGGAAATATGTGTTTTCCGATGGTCTTAGACGACCCCTGTGAAAGGGTCATTCGACCCCTAAAGGGGTCGCGACCCACAGGTTGAGAACAGCTGCTCTAGGTCAAGGGTAGAACTGCTTCTGTGGGTTTCCAACACTAACTCTTTTTTTTTTTTTTTTAAACATTTTATTGCGGGCTCATACAACTCTTATCACAATCCATACATACATCAATTGCCAACACTAACTCTTTACTGGCTCAGAAAGCTTCATCTTTCTCCTGTGGCACGACTGGTGGTTTTGAACTGCTGACTCTGCAGTTATCAGCCCACTGCGTCATCACAACGCCACCACCACCATCAGGGCTTTCTTAAGGTTTCAGCCTAGAAAACCCTATGGAACACTTCCATTCGGAACCGCATGGAACAGAATTGTTTGGCTTTGGTTTTAATGCTTATCGATGTCTTACTGTATGCCAGGACTTGTGATTAGGGGGTACTATTTTACTGTTCATTTTCTTGTGGAGAAACTTTAGCTTAAAACTCCCCCAAAGTCAAGTAGCTACTTGAGTGGCAGAGCTAGAAGCCTGGCAGTTTGGCCTCAGATCCCAGGCCCCATGACTGCATCGATCTCACACATTTCCAGCCCGTCCTGCAAGGCCAAGACCCCAGCGTTACTGCATCATTGAGGTTCTTCCCAGAAGACCCCAAGCAAGGGTGAATAGATGGAAATCTCCCAGAAGGTACTGCTTCCTAAACATCACTTTTACACCGCATATCAGATCCAATGATTATATCTGAATTTATTTACTTTTTCCTCTGCTGTTAAGCACTGAAGTTGATTCACATTTATGTTTAGGATGACCTCCATGATGAACATATGAAAGCTATTGCAAAAATTGTAGAAACAAGTCAAACTTTGCTAATTTAGTGAGTAAAACCCCAAATCCAAACCGCTGTCTTCAAATTAGTTCCAACTCGTAGCAACCCTCTAGGACAGAGTAGAATTGTTCCATTGGATTTCCAAGACGATGAATCTTTATGGAAACTGCCTGTCTCGCCGTTCTCCTGCAGAGTGGCCTTGAGATGGGCCATTGAGAACATAACACACTGCATCATTGGGTCCTTCACTGCAAGGGCAGTAGATGCATATTTGTTTTCTTTAGTATTAACTTGACATTGACCGCTTCTCCTTTACAGGCATGCTAGTATTTTCTAAGCACCTACTAGGACATGAAAAATCATAGTCTCTTAAGAATTTATATGTTTATGTGTTTGGTATAGGTTTTTTATATAAAAATTGTTGTTTAGCATACATATTTGCTATATCCATTTCTCTAGTTTTTTTCCCTTATAACATTAACTGGAAAACAAGCAGATGCTTTCCATTTGTATAAAGCCATATCTGTACACTTTTGAAAAAATTAAATCGCTTTATTGGGGGCTCTTACATCTCTTATTACAATCCATACATTCATCCATTGTGTCAAGCATATTTGTACATATGTTACCATCATCATTTTCAAAGCATTTTCTTTCTACTTGACCCTTTGATATCAGCTCTTCTCTTTACCCCCTCCCTCCCCTGCCTTCTCTCTCTCATGAACCCTTGATAAGTTACAGATCATTCTTTTCTTTTTTTTAATCATTTTATTGGGGGCTCATACAACTCTTATCACAATCTATACATACATCAATTGTGTAAGGCACATTTGTACATTCATTGCCCTCATCATTCTCAAAACATTTGCTTTCCACTTAAGCCCCTGGCATCA